CCACACAGGGAAGCAGTTCAGCTTCATCACACACACACACACACACACACACACACACACACACTCCAGAAGATCCTGCTGAACTACATACAGTACGTCTGCTGTAGCCTAATCACACTCAGCTTCAGATAAAGGGCCTTTTATTATCAAGGACACTCACTCATAAAGCGTGTGTGTGTGTGTGTGTGTGTGTGTGTGTGAAGGTGTGTGTGAAGGTGTGTGAAAGGTGTGTGTGTGTGTGTGTGTTTGAAGGTGTGTGTGTGTGAGGGGAAATTTGATTGAGGAGTGTGTTCTTGTGTTATGGCTTTTTCACATCACAAACCTGCTATTGCCTACATTCAAAATTCTAAGCAGCTTCCTCTCTGACAGGAAATTTCCTTTTACATCCTGGTGGCCATGGCAACAAAAGCCTATAAAGCCTGTCAGTCAGGTTTACGGTTACACACAGGGGTAAATGAATTGGGGGGGGGGCATATATGGTGGAATAGTTTAGATGGAAATACATAATTTTAGCAACTGACTGTAGACAAACACAGTGTGCTTTTAGAGGAAGGAAACAACCTTTAACTCTCAACTCTCTCTTTCTGACTGACTTTCCATATATAATAACTTATTAAAGTAGCAGCTGTTAGGACTCGTGGCAAAATTGTGAAATTGTGAAGAAAAAGCCTCCCTTTCATACCTCAGTGTTCAGAACTTCTTCTTTTTGTGCCTGTGAGCCTTTTCACCAACACTTATCATCTATACATGATAAGGTGCATTGATAATGGCGTATTTGAATGATAACAAGGTGCGTCACAGGTGCACTGTGTGCTCCATGTCGTAAGGTCACCTTTTCAAGTCCTTGCTGTTATTCTACCTCCTTCTTTTATCCCCTGCCTTGCACCCTGGAAATAAAAACACTATTAGTCCTCTCCTCACTCTGTTTGGGAAAGAAGGGATCACAATAGCAGCAATTGATTTATGGGTAAATGGCTGCTTCCCTGACATGTCAATGAATAGGAGGACAGGCTATTTTATGTTGTCAGTGCTTTGGCTTTTCAAGAAAATTGGGAGAGAAGGGGAGAAAGGGGAGGGGGAAGTAAAATCCACACTAATGGAGTGGAGGAGGGGAGGAAAGATAAAGGAGGGCAGAGTGTGGGTGTACGATAAGTGGAAGCATGTATGAGTATGTGTGTGTGAGATTTAGCTGACTGTGTGCAAGCAGAGCAGTTACAGCAGGCTAATGTCAGGTGTGTCTGCATGTGTGTAAGAAAGAGACAGCAAGCGTGAAAATGGGGAGGGATAATATCCTGCTGCCAGACGAGTGGACAGACAGACATAGGGAAGGACTGACAGAGAGAGACACAGACATAAAGAGGCTTCTAGCAGTTCCTGACTCAGATCCATGGCTTGTTTGGCAGGGATTCACATCTCTTGGATGTGTGTGTGTGCAGGATGTGAGCAAGAATCTCATCCAGCTTCCCTTCTGCAGCCTTGTCCACACAGGCTTTGGTCTCATGCATCAGAAAGGGATGCAGACTCAGAGATTACCTCACAGGAAACAAAAATCTGGTGAAAGTTAAGAAAATTTGCATAGACGCGGGCAGAAGGGAAATATGAGAGATATTGTTTTAAATTACCTCACTGATGTCTTTGTTGTGATATAGTTGTAAGATTAGATTCAGCTTAGAGTGGACATTATATGATAAAAACATCATTGCTTAAAACTTGAATTTCGTGGTTTGATATGATCCAATAGTCTTAAGGAACCAGCAGATGGTAAAATTTGTTTTGTGCTGGGAGCCAATGAAGAGCATTTCGGTTTTGTTTGAGTTCAGATGAAGGACATTATTTGACATCAGTTTTTTATATCACCAAGGCAGTCATTCAGTGAATTTAGCATTCCAGGGTCTGTGGATCTGTAAAGTACAACTTTGTTGCATAAGCATAAAAATAAAAATAATGTCTTTTAATTAAAAGACATGGTGTTAATTTTTTTAATCCAAGGTGAAGGATATCTAAAATAAATAAAAAATAAAATTGGCCCCAACACCGAACACTGAGTCACACAGTAGTACAAGGACTGAATACATGCCACCATCAGCCAATAAAAGAGAGTGAGCAGAGTCTCAGTGCTGTGATACTACCATTTCAAAGACGTTGTTTAAAAATGTTGACATAAATATACTGTAGAAATTTAAAGCATTTCCAGTTATTCTTATTATTCATCTTGCCATGTTTCTTATCTAAAGTTTGTTTTTTTAGTGACAAAAAATGTTAAATATATGAGCACAAATAAATCCCATTAGAAAGAAATGAATGCCTTTGACTAAAAAAATATCTTTCTGATTTTATGATTAATGCTTTCCTCGCCACTATCTTTCAGGCAGACCCGGGAGCAGGAAACCCCTCCAGACTTCTTCTACTTCTCCGACTTTGAGAGGCACAACGCTGAGATTGCCGCGTTTCACTTGGACAGGTGAGTTTTTATTATCTTTTTTTTACCCCGCGATGAAAAAAAGAAACCCTGTTGCTTTTGAGATTTCTTTGTGACTGATCCGTTTCCTGTCTGACTGCTTTTTCAAATCATCCGTCACAGTCTGTTCCAGGAAGAGTGACAGGTCACACATGTTCCTTCACTCAGACAGTGGGCACTTTAACCCATTTATAAACCAGAGGTAATGGACTTAAACTGTGAAAATTTGAATGGGATTTAGTACATGAGGGATTAGATAACACTCGGATCATCTCTTTTACTTGCTGCTGAGTATATTGATTTCCACATGATCCTTTTACTCTGCAGGCTTCAGCTGACAAGGTAAAAAAAAAAAAAAACTCAACAGAGGAACACTAAGAAGAGTCAAATATGATAGTTTGGGATTTGGGGGGAGGATGATTAAATAAAGTCAGGTCGTCTTAAGGTCTGCTGAGGGCACAGTAATTACTTCACACATGCTCACAAACACACACTCTCGCTCTCTGTTAGATGAGGTCAGTGGCATGTGTTTGCGTGGGCAGGAAGATGGAGCCAAACAGGAAATCAGAGGCACGCTATTACCACCGGGACATGGTTTTGGAGCAGAGGGGGAGGGGGGGAGGTGCCTCTGTTACCCCTAAAGAGTAGTTTGTTTTTAGATTGCGTGCACCATGCGGGGCTGCCTATGAATTATAGTCCAGGTTCCTGACCACAGCAGCCTCTAGATACCAGTATGAGCTATTGCTACTTTATGGCTTCATGTTGACTCAGGAATGGAGAGTTAGGAGGATGTTTTGCCCCGCTAAAACTTTCTTTAATTTGATGTCTAATTCTAGACAGTTGTGATGAAATGTACAAAAAATATCCTGAAGATTTAGGGGAAGGGGTAGCATCACTGCTTTCCAGTAATTACTTCTACATCTCAGGAGACTTTTTTATATCCTCTGCTCTTTGCCGGCGTACTATAAGACCATCTGTTGTAAACTCCTTGTGACTCAGGGGTGTGTAATAGTGCACACAAATAGACGCTTGAATGTGCTCTCACAGGCAAACACAGACACACACACACATGCACACACAGGTGCTCCTTTGTCACCAGGGCCTAACATGACGGTGCAGTTTGCAGCTCCTGAATGCTTTCCTCTGTAGGCTAAAGTTTCGCCAACTCTGTTCCACTCAGCTAGTCTGTCTGTGTGTGTGTGTGTGTGTGTGTGTGTGTGTGTCTGCTCCCAGGAGGCTTAGTTTTAGTCTCAGACAGGTCAGGATCATTTGGACAGCAAACATATAGTGAGGCAGGCTAAACAGGGACTGAATGAGGTATAGTGTTCTGACAAAAGAGTATAAGAAAAGAATGAAAGAGACAGTGGAGACAGAAAGGGAGCGAGAGAACAAGAGTTTAAGAGTAAAAGAGTAGAAAAAAATTAGCTTTACGTCATGTTTAAGTAGGTGTGGTTCACAAAGGTGTTTGTCTGTGTTAGAGTGTGGGACAGGTGGGAGATGCGCAAACAAGCGGATGTAGGATGTTAATAAATGCTGCCTTTGATGCCAATGCTGACAGACAACACTGAAAAGATTATTAATTATTGAACATCTTCTGTTCCGAAATGATTCAGATGAAGTCTTGTACTGACAGCTTTAATTGGAAACCACTAAAACATTATTCTTGTCATGACTTCCCACTTCTTCTTTTGAGCTGTCTTTATTTAGAGCACTGGTTCTCAAATTATGGTACATGTAGCACTGGTGGTGCCTCTAGTGGTATGTAGAGGAATCTCTGAAATATTTTTAAATATATATATATATATATATTTATATATAATATTAATATAGAATTCTTATACTACAACATTTCTAATAAAAATACAATGGCAAGGTAGTAAGCAGCAGTAAAATAAATGGTTCAAAAACACTGCAATTGTGTCTCCGAACGGGACCTTTTGGGAAGAGATGTGTGAACAAGGAGTACCCCTTTTTCACCATATTAGCTCTGGTTCTTAAACTGCTTCCATTCAGGATTCAACAACAGTCAACAATAATTAATCTATTATGAATAAACCTGTGTCCTGTGTAAGCTGCCAAGTAGCTGATAAGGGTTAGCCTACGCTACTGTATGTTAATGTCGGTCATAATGGTGGTACGTGGTATATTTACTCATATTTTCTAGGGTGGTACGCATGGTAAAACGTTTAGACTGATTCGAGACTTGTATGACATATACTGAGCAAAGGTATATCCTGTAGACATGCAGGTAATGTGCATTAATAGACAGATAACACAGGCAAAGTAGGTGCAGAAATTAAGAGCAATGTGTCAGTGTAAGTATGCACTGTGTTGGGCACCATGGGAGAATGAGCTGCAGGCTGAAGGTGCTTTGTAGCTGCATTTGTTCAGGGCAAACTTGAGTCAAAAACAGTGTGCAATACAGCAATATTATATATATATATATATATATATATACAAAACAAGTCATTGTGTCAGTACTAAATTATTACATTTATTCTGTTTCTGTCTATTATTTCTCTCTCTCTCTCTCTCTCTCTCTCTCTCTAGGATCCTTGACTTCCGGAGAGTGCCCCCAGTGGCAGGACGACTCGTCAACATGACGCGGGAGATCAGAGATGTGACACGTGATAAGAAGCTGTGGAGGACCTTCTTCATCTCGCCAGGTAGAAAACTCTGCCAGCCTCTTCAGCTTGGCCCAATGATACAGCTTCTTGGCCGCGTCGCTCAGCCTATTTGGACAGAACAACCGTATCTCACTGGCTACAGGTTTAAGTAAACTGGGTTATGCACAAAGTGGCTTATGTGTGCTTGTAGTTGAGGGTTGTCTGAGTTTGTATGTCCTGGTCTGCCCTTCAAGGTTCAGGTTCAGGTTACTTTATTTGTATCCGTAAAAGTAGCTTTGGTTTGCAGTAAAGGCAATCCTCTTGACAAAATATTATATTAAAAATATTTTACAAACAACTCAGACAATAGATAAAAATGATACAATGTGATAAAAGTGCTGTAGGCAGAACTTCAAGGCAGTACAAATGGCCATAGTGTGTGTGATGATGAATAAAGCTATAGCCAAAGGTTACCACAGGGTGGCACTGTAAGTCAGCTTATTCTCAAAAGAGCTACAAAGCTGGAGGTAATATGAAGATAAATATCAATATACAATCAATACAAATTAATTTAAAAAAAAAAGTATTAAAAAAAAAAAAATATATATATGATAATACTATATATTAGGTTAGAAATACAAATAAATTAAACTAAAACATGTCACTGTCAACTTCTTTTCCTTGGTTTTTTTATTTTGCTTATTATGTTGCATCGACTTGAAACTGGGACCAAAATAAATAAACATGGCCATAATGTGTTTGTAGGTGATAAGAAAGACTAATTAGTTTCATTTCCAAAACAAAGGGAAAGAGTCAAATTGGTGGTCAGATGATTATGCAAAGGCAGATAATTTGTCACATATGATTAGTGTCATTGCGGTGAAATTATTAAAGCAACAATTCAGCAACTGGTTTTGTCTTTATGTGCTAATGTACAGGCCTACAGGTTCCTTAATGAGAAGTACATAATGCAATTAAGACATTTTGGTTGAAGGTGTTTAACATTACTTTTGATATTATTACAAAATATAAAATTCAAATGAGATGTTGCCGCATGAACCACTCTCTGTGGTTCCTCTCTGACACCATCCTCACATCAGTCGTACTTGGTCTGTTCTCTCCTCAGCCAACTAACATTCTGCTTCTACGGGGCGAGGTGCTCGTACTACTGCTCCACTGGGAGGCATGGCTCTGTGTGCGGTAAACCCGGACCGATAGGATGGCTCTCTAGCAGGGGCCTTCACTGCCAAGACCGCTGAATCTGGCCAAACGCCAAGACCTGGAGGAACCCCTGGAGACGCTCCTACCACAAACGCAAGAAAGCAGAGTAAGGAAACGACATTAAATGACCACATTCATCAATCTGTCACCACACCTCAAGATTTTAATGATTTTTTAATATATATATATTTTGTGTGTGTGTATTCTCAGGTGGGAGGTGGACCCAGATTACTGTGACGAAGTTAAGCAGACTCCTCCATATGACCGAGGCACTCGACTGCTGGACATCATGGATATGACCATCTTTGACTTCTTAATGGGTAGGAGTGGGTGAAACTGGCTACAACACCACATATAAATATATTGATGAACTTACAGATGAACAAATAGCATTTTAATGCATTAATTAACTGCATTGTCCTCATTCTGAAGCACTTTTCTCTCTCCTTGTACAGGTAATATGGATCGACATCATTATGAAACTTTTGAGAAGTTTGGAAATGATACCTTCATTATTCACCTAGACAACGGAAGAGGGTAAAGTCTTAATAACAAGCAATTAAACAAACATATGACATCTGGCAAAGTATTATACATAGGGTGAACAGCTGTCTAACAAGTCCAACATGTGTTCAGTGTGTCTGTGATAATTCCTGTTTCATGTTTTGATATTTATCCCCACCCTCGTAGTTTTGGAAAACACTCCCATGATGAGCTGTCCATCCTGGTGCCTCTCAGCCAGTGCTGCAGGTCAGACTTTTGGTTGTCTGTAAATTTTTAACACTCCTTTTGGGAAGGTTCGTGTGTTTTCTGCCTTTCGGCCTTGTCCCTAGCAGTACAGGGCCTAAAGGATGTTGACCAGTCTCTCAGTCAGTCCTTGGAAAAGTTTAGACCAGAGACACCTCGACAACTTCTTGTCAGCTCGCCTTAAAATATACTGTGGAAATCCATGGCCCACAGAGAATGAGTTGTTATGTATTTGGTGATGTGGTTGGTCCTCCATCACCACCATCAGACCTCATGTACAAAAGAAATGTTAAAGCCTTTTTAGCCTTTTTAAACCCTTTTCCATTTTGTCCAGCACGACTCTCAGGCTTCTCAACTTGAGTCACAAAATCTTCGACTAATGGGAATCGCTGTGAGATGAACGCCCCTAAAGGATGCAACCCTTTTGTTTTTAATGGTCTCATGGACAAAGTTAGTGGCAGAGTATAGTCAGGGTTAAGATACCCAAGAGGTGAACAAAGAATGTTTTTTTACCTAAGCTCAGTAGTTTATGAAAGGTTGATGGTTTTTGTCTGTACCTCTACTTTCATCTATCCAATAAAGGCAATAATGGCAAGAAAAATACATGAATATATCTCTTGGATTGTCATCATAGTTAGTGTAATTAAAAATAACCTTTTCAATAATCCCATGTCTCTTGTTTCCAGGGTGAGGAAATCCACCTACCTGCGTCTGCAGCTGCTGGCCAAAGAGGACTACCAGCTGAGCTCCCTGATGGAGGAGTCTCTGCTCCGTGACCGACTGTCCCCAGTCCTCATCCAGAATCACCTCAAGGCCATGGACCGCAGGCTCCGGCTGGTGCTGCAGGTCCTGGCAGGCTGCATAGAGAAAGAAGGCTACGTTAATGTCGTGGAGGAAGATCTAGCTGGGGACACAGCCACCCACAGGAGCCCAGGCCACAGGTAGTGAGGGCGAGACTTGAGGGTGACAGAAAAACCACCAGTGACAAGTGAAAAATGGACCACGTCTGTGGCTGTTGGACCCATGGGACTGTACCAAGAGTCCCACTTCTGATATCAAGCTGAATTCAGTGAATTCCAAGACTTGCCAACATTGCCTCTAAGGAACCTGCATTTAAGTGTGTTTATATAGAAGAAACTGTCCACAGATACCATGAAAAGACTGTGCTCATGCAGAGGCTTTGTATTTGTTAGATACAGATGTATTTTGGTTTTATCAGATGTTGTATAAGACATAAAGGAACCACTGCTGTGTTCTGATTTTGTCCTGTTTGTTTTGAATATGGAGGGTTTGTTTTATGTGTTTTATTATATTAGTACATAACCAAATGAGAACTTTCATTGACTGGGCAGCCTATGGTCAGACAATAAGCTTTATCAGTTATCACAATGTATGAAAAGGTTGAGAAAGTGTGTGTAAGTTTTTCTTTTTGTAAAACATGTCAGTTTTCACATTCTGTCAGGCCTGACACAAACAACCTACAACCAGGAGGATAAGAGTTTCCAAATAGTGTCTCTTTATCTATCTTTATAAGCTTTTTGTCTCGGCACAGACTTGGAACAGACCAACTGCAAATGTTATTACATACTTCTGAACAACATAGATCTGAGTATATCGGAGGCTGTAGTCCAAACCGTACCTTCACTTTGCCTTATTCTGATTTTCATTTTTATTTTTTTACTTTCCCATCTCCCCAACAGCTAAACAACAACACTAAAATAGTATTTTCCAATTAAAAAATACTCTAAATGCAAAGACTGGAGACAGAGACAAGTGAGTGTTCATTAGATGGTGTGTCAGTTCATTCAAATGCACTACCATTCTTACATGCAGACCTGAAACATTTAGAGCTGCCTGCTATAACATGATTTTACACTTTATGCAATGCAAAATGTTACAGTTTGTATGTTGATTCATTTTTATGAGATTTCATTTCCAAATGACTATTTATTGGTGTGTCACACAGAATGAGAGTGGTTTAATAAATTCTAGTTTTGCATCATGTTGCTTTATATGTTGGGAAATATTTACCATAGGTACCTTAGCATTTGGATACTATTTAAATTGACATTCCTTTGAGTGCTGTTTTTATGTTCAGATGAAAGAAAAACAACAAAGCTATTAAGCTATCTGATTTTGAACATTAAGTTGTTGAAGTGGTGCCATGCAATTTTCCAAGGTTTCCTCCTAAGAGTCCTGTGCACTGGCTGACCCGGTACCTGTGCAATGACAGAAATACAGTACTTGAATGTTTTTGGGTTGGCAGTATGGACAGGATTCATAGAGCTACAAACAGTGTAAAGCCTGAGTGGCTGGACTCAAGTCTTAGAAGTGCTTTGGGGGAGATAAAGGGGTTAAAATGCCTCATCCCACTACTGGGATAACCTCGGGCACTGTTCTTTGATTTTCATATTCTCAGTGTAAATACCTATAAATACTTTGAAGACCTAACAAGCTTCACCGCACAGTGATTTGCTTCTGTTTTCTGCTATTGCATTGTTACTGTGAAGATCTGTTTACTAAATGATTAAAGTGTGCAATAAAAACAAAAGTGAGGACAAATCTCTCATTGTGTAGGTGCCTGTGGACATATAAAACTTAATTTTATGTATGGGTTAGAGGGTTAGTGTGTTCTTTTTTAGGCGTGACAAGTAACAAGTAAGGATCAACAATACTTTACAAATTAAAGTTTGAAGAGCATTTATCTGTCAAACCCATCCAGGCAGGTTGCGGCCTTTGAATATCACATTAGCAAACTCCATCGTGACAGTTAAGAAAATCTATCAAACCAAGTTTTCCTTCTTTGTCACTCTTCACTCGTGCCGATATTACAGACCTGTAGGTGAAGATTGTGACAACTCTGTGGCAAAAATAAGGTTTCAAATCTCACAAATTCCACAAAATACACCAGTTAGATTAAAAGGTCTTTGGTTGCTCATTACTAAAGGTGAGTGCAATCTGCATGCACGATCGCACACATTTCATTTTGCATGTTACTGAGCCCGTGTTTTTCATCATTATAGTAGGAAGTATAGTTACATGCACTGCTTAGGAAGTGCTGGATGTTGAAAAGCTAACGGTAAACTGCACTGCTGGCTTAACATTGTATGAAGATGCAGCTGAAGAGTTGGAAAAGTGGGTAAGGGTCTAATTAGCTCATCTCAATTAGCTGTGTCTCATGCTGCAATTAAAGGTCGCCATGGTGACTCCTGAGTCATACCCTTAATAGATGTCTAAAACAGCTGAGAGGCACCACTCAAACTCTGGCTTTTTATCCAAAGAGTGAAATTCATATCACCTAGATCTGACTTCAAGAGAGAGAGAGGACTCTGCTGAACACACTGGTGTAAAATATGTTTGTGGTGTCAAAAATGTGGGAAAAAGAGCGACCTGGAATAATCCCTTTTCCTGCTTCTCTCCTGGAAATTCCGGTCTCAGTTAACATTACAGGCAGTGGGGCAGTTGGATGGTATTCCTGTCACTTTGAGAGTTCATAGCACGTAATGTGTACGTCCATCTACTTCCATAGTTACACTGTGTGAAAGAGCACACATTTTTCTGTGTTTTCAAGAAGTATTTTCAGAAAATGATGTATGATGAGTAAAAACTGAAGGACTAAGAGCAAATTGAAGAGATATTGCATGCAAAATTTGTGGGAAACTTGGAATATTTTTAAGTAATAGCAATTATAATTTGTGAAATTTTGGGGGGTCTTCAAAACATTGACAATATGTTTTTTGGAACCATTCATTTCTATTTTTGTGTATCTTTATCATCATGGATCATTTTAAAATGAAGCTACTATTGATGGGTGTGTACATGTCAGATGTGCTGAAATAAAGCAAGTTTCAATAATTGTAGCTATTAATGTGATTATATGAATCCCATTGTTTGTCGTAAGACCTCTAAACCTGGTATTAAAATGTTTTGCCTGAACATCGGCACTTGCTGTGACAGTAAATGCAACCAGTCAGACAGACGGGGATAGACACGGCGCTGTCCGTGGTACTTAAGGAATACAACGGCGCTGTCTGCAGCTATTAGTGCAATGAACAGCACCACGGACAGCGCCGGGACGGGCGGGCCCACTCGCGGTGATGGAGGAGGTGAAGACGGAGGTTGATTCTCATTATATCGAGCATTATGTCGCCTTTTCTGAGCGGTAGAGAGAGTAGAAATAAAATATAAGTTTCGCACAAAGAAAGACTTTTCTTACCAGAAAGTAATCGGAGGCAGCTGTTGGCTTCCACGTGACAAAATGTATTTCTAGGAAACTTAACTTTCCTTGGTTTATTTACGGTAAACGAAGATATACCGAGTATCCCCCAGGAGATGGCGCCAGTGTACCGCAACTCTGATTGAGGAGCTCAGGTACAAGAAGCTGTTACAGGTAATATTCACTAGGTGGCAGTCGAGCCTCATGGTTTGACCTCACGGTCATTTAAGAGGTTTACGTCTTTCTCAAAAAGATGATGCTATTTGTTGCCCTGATTTAGGGTTAAATTATACTCTGAGCCTCGGTGTGATGAGCTGATCTTACAAGCACTGCCTTCAGTGTGTTTATCATCACTCAGACTGAAGGACAGAGAGGCTATAGACGTCAGTATAATACTGTATAATATGACTGTCAACGTGACGGATCTCATTTGCTTGTGAAAAAGTTCAAGAAAAACAGAACCTGAGTTAACAGAAATGGATTTTAAAAAACAAAAAACAAAAAACCAAGGGCCGTGTATTATGTGTCTGTTCCTGCACTTCAAAGCAATGACCACTGGGTTGTGCACTTCAATTGTGTAACACTAAATAGTTGTTATTGATTGATTTGACAAAAAGTGACCATAATATAACTTATGGCCTTTTAAATGCTCGGGTTATGTGTTCAGAGAAGTCCGATTCGTCTGTGTATTTGATGTTTTTCTGACTTCTTAAAGATTTTTCCAAATGTCATTTCCAACCGATTGTGAATTATTTTACTCCACCTGACTTTCAAAAAAAATAATCCAAGCAGCAACACACCCTGGACACTATTCCCGCTCACTCCCACTCAGCCCTGATGTTGTTTACCCGCCACAGCAGACCACCCCACATCCTCTCACCTCACTCAGAGGCAGCCTCTCCTGCCTAGTAACAGTATCCAACACCACTGTCCCCCCCGTCTCTATGGCAACAGAGAGCAACCCCCCGCCCCCCTTTTCCTGCCCTGCTTCCCATTGATCCAAGGTGTGTGTGGCTGAGTCCTCGACGACCCTGACCCTTGCACCTCTCCCCACTCCCCGATCAGTGAACTTGAATTATTCCAGATTTACACATTTCTTGAAAAGGGAAACAGCCGCAGTAAATCTTAAACACTTTAAAAACCACAGCAAAAAAATTAAGTTTAGAAATGCACCGGCCACTTTAAATCGTTAAAACCCGAATAATAGACACTGACATCCCATAATAGGGCAAAAAAACTCAGCTAATTACAGATATAGTTAATTATTACTTGAGAAGGCCTCAGTATTCCCATGCTTTCTTTCTTGTTGAGAGAACAGCTCTCCTGCTGCTATATCTGAGTGGAAAACACTACATGCACGCACACCCCCACTCACAAACAGGTCTATAGTGTGTGTGTGTGTGTGTGTGTGTGTAGAGTATGTGCGCGTCCGAGCGTATGGCAAACTGAGATGAGAGAAGCTTTTCAAACGCTTCTTCAGAGCTAGTCGTTTTAACCCCTGTCCATTTCGATTGATGTCAGCGCTGTAGGCAAAATCACGCTTCACTCAGATCCACATTGATCAAAACAAATGCATCCCGGGGAGGATAGTTCACCGAAACCATTTAGGGACATAGGCGCGATCACGTACATGGCTTGGCTCCATGCATCTGGTGGTACTGATCTCCAAACTACCAAATACTCATCAACTCATCTTTTTTTTTTTTTTGATTGATGTGGTTTTCTGCTTCTTCTTTTTTTTAGGCCGGCTGTTTCAAACCGAGCATGGTGAAGGCCGACTCTCGGTCAGAGTAACATCTTCATGCTTTTCCCCTCGCCTTAAAAAAAAAAAAAAAAGGTGAGTCTGATTGTTTTCACAGAACCGTTACTGAGAACTTCAATGCACGGTCCCCTCTCTGAAAGGCCAGGCCTGTCCACCTTGTTTTTCACTCGGCTGAGCAACACCCTGGCAATAAAGCGTGCCAGTCGGAGCAGGCTCTGTGTCTGAACTCATGAATTATTAAAAGGCCACTATTTCGCGGCTGCAGCTAAAATTAGGAATAGCCTTATGTTGGCTATAATTAGAAAGCAGATGGAAAGCGTTCATTTGTAATAGTACATGTAAGGTTTTTGACGTTTTCAGGTGAAGATGCTAGGTGTGTGTGGGGGGGTGTGTGTGCGCGTGTGTGCGTGTCTCCCCAGTGGCTTCAGAGTGAGCCTGGCGACAGAGACAAAACTCCCCCTGTCTGTCGTCAAGGTCAGGCGGAGGCGCATCCTTTTGCGTCAAGAGCACCGGGAGAGAAATTAAACTCCAAATCAATTGCCCTTGAACCACTGCGTGCGCATGTGTTAGTGTGTGTGTGTGTGTGTGTGTGTGTGTGACTCGCTGACTGACTGCCAATGCGCGAATTTGTTTGTGAAAGTGAGAAGAGGGAAAAAAAAGCAGCCGGGGTTTGGTGTGCTGCGCTCATCAACGCATCTGTCCATCCTGGCGCGTGTGTGTGTGTGTGCGTCTGCATGCCAGGAGCGATCACGGGCCATTGCATATACGACGGGGAGGAAGGGAAGGGGGCGCCGCTTGTAAACCCGATGAAATACCCTTGGCTGCACAGGAGGAGATTCGGAATGACCGAGATAGGCTGCGCTCGGGCGGCTCGGTGCGTTGCGACAAGCGCTCCTTTTGCACCACACAGCAAATAAAAACAAGGAGAGGAGGCTCATTATTGACGCGCGCCCGAGCAAATCTGCTGCTAGCTGCCTCTCATCTGTCACTCAAGAAGAGGAGGCGAGGACAGAGAGGAGGAGATGGCTGAATGGGAGGAGAGTCACAGTCCCACTCCCGCCTCCTCCTCCTCCTCCTCC